AATGACGAATTTCAGCCCCCCTTTGCTGTCCACACTCAGCTCCCTCGATATTTTCACAAGTGTCGGCGTCCACGAAATTTCGGCAGAGTTTCCCTTAGCGGAAGACACATCCAACCTTTAGAACACCACTTAGGCACACCCACAGGCCATGGTGGGTCTAGAAGGGTCTTCACACTTCTGTAGACTCCTCTCAACGTCCTTAATACAGCTCTGATACCACTTGTTAGGATTAAGGACAGAGTCTAGGTGAACTTAGGAGCTAGAATTACTCAAAATATAAATCCGAAATTCTGGACAGAAAAGTCGTCTTCACAAGAAACGACGTCGACAAAACACTAGCCGTTGGAATGTCGCGAAACTTGGATATGTTGTAGCTCTTGATCTCAGCTACCGTTCCCAATTTGAATCACGTTGATTGATGAAGTATTCGCGACGCTATGGCTTTCGACGCACTAGGGGGTAAGCTGTAGGAGGAGAACTTAACTCAATCTCAAGAGTTCAATCAAAGTTCAAGAATCTCACAAGGAATTAGAAGGAGCAAGAGAAAGGTTGGGATAGGAAGAGAGGGATGAGAGGGAAGGTCCCAAGAGAGTCCCCAACCAAGGAAACCCCATAAGCACAAAGATTCCCTCCCTATAGGAACCCCAACTTTGACATTTGTCCCTTCCCAACCAATCCATCCAAGTTGGCCACCCTTGCCAACCTAGCTTGGTTGTTCCCAACCAATTTGCAGCTGTTACAGTGAGTGACAAATTTCCCAAACCCCCAAAGGTCCCAACTCCATATAGAGTCACCCCACAACTTCACTTTGTAACCGCCGCAATTGTAACGCAAGCTCATGAACTTTGAATCTTCATAGCTTTCGCGTTCTTGCTCCGATTGAAGGGATTCTCGTTGCGTCGGAAAGATCTTCTCAAGATCTATCATCACAAAAAACCTGCTCAAACAAAATAACACAAAACACATTCCCAAACTCCAGAACACATCACACACAAATTCTTGCACACGTTCAAACCACACATGCAAGTTGAAAAAATATGGGATGGGAGGCAGACAGAATGTGATAGCATATGATGACATCACACAACACGGTGCAGGCTCTAGATGGCATGCACTAACCAGCCATGCAAAAAACAAGGGCTTAGGGCATGCTGAGTAGCTGGGAAAAATAAAAGAAGAGCATGTGCTTTCATGGGGAAACGCTCAAACATTCATACTTGGGGCAAATGTTGAAATGCTATAGCTCCCCACCCCTTTGGATTTTCGACTTGAGAATTGCGGTGCAGGCTCTAGATGGCATGCACTAACCAGCCGTACAAAAAACAAGGGCTTAGGGCATGCTGAGTAGCTGGGAAAAATAAAAGAAGAGCATGTGCTTTCATGGGGAAACGCTCAAATACTCATACTTGGGGCAAATGTTGAAATGCTATAGCTCCCCACCCCTTTGGATTTTCGACTTGAGAATTGCGGTGCAAGCTCTAGATGGCATGCACTAACCAGCCGTACAAAAAACAAGGGCTTAGGGCATGCTGAGTAGCTGGGAAAAATAAAAGAAGAGCATGTGCTTTCATGGGGAAACGCTCAAACATTCATACTTGGGGCAAATGTTGAAATGCTATAGCTCCCCACCCCTTTGGATTTTCGACTTGAGAATTGCGGTGCAGGCTCTAGATGGCATGCACTAACCAGCCATGCAAAAAACAAGGGCTTAGGGCATGCTGAGTAGCTGGGAAAAATAAAAGAAGAGCATGTGCTTTCATGGGGAAACGCTCAAACATTCATACTTGGGGCAAATGTTGAAATGCTATAGCTCCCCACCCCTTTGGATTTTCGACTTGAGAATTGCGGTGCAGGCTCTAGATGGCATGCACTAACCAGCCATGCAAAAAAAAAGGGCTTAGGGCATGCTGAGTAGCTGGGAAAAATAAAAGAAGAGCATGTGCTTTCATGGGGAAACGCTCAAACATTCATACTTGGGGCAAATGTTGAAATGCTATAGCTCCCCACCCTTTGGATTTTCGACTTGAGAATTGCGGTGCAGGCTCTAGATGGCATGCACTAACCAGCCATGCAAAAAACAAGGGCTTAGGGCATGCTGAGTAGCTGGGAAAAATAAAAGAAGAGCATGTGCTTTCATGGGGAAACGCTCAAACATTCATACTTGGGGCAAATGTTGAAATGCTATAGCTCCCCACCCCTTTGGATTTTCGACTTGAGAATTGCGGTGCAGGCTCTAGATGGCATGCACTAACCAGCCATGCAAAAAACAAGGGCTTAGGGCATGCTGAGTAGCTGGGAAAAATAAAAGAAGAGCATGTGCTTTCATGGGGAAACGCTCAAACATTCATACTTGGGGCAAATGTTGAAATGCTATAGCTCCCCACCCCTTTGGATTTTCGACTTGAGAATTGCGGTGCAGGCTCTAGATGGCATGCACTAACCAGCCATGCAAAAAACAAGGGCTTAGGGCATGCTGAGTAGCTGGGAAAAATAAAAGAAGAGCATGTGCTTTCATGGGGAAACGCTCAAACATTCATACTTGGGGCAAATGTTGAAATGCTATAGCTCCCCACCCCTTTGGATTTTCGACTTGAGAATTGCGGTGCAGGCTCTAGATGGCATGCACTAACCAGCCATGCAAAAAACAAGGGCTTAGGGCATGCTGAGTAGCTGGGAAAAATAAAAGAAGAGCATGTGCTTTCATGGGGAAACGCTCAAACATTCATACTTGGGGCAAATGTTGAAATGCTATAGCTCCCCACCCCTTTGGATTTTCGACTTGAGAATTGCGGTGCAGGCTCTAGATGGCATGCACTAACCAGCCGTACAAAAAACAAGGGCTTAGGGCATGCTGAGTAGCTGGGAAAAATAAAAGAAGAGCATGTGCTTTCATGGGGAAACGCTCAAAATTCATACTTGGGGCAAATGTTGAAATGCTATAGCTCCCCACCCCTTTGGATTTTCGACTTGAGAATTGCGGTGCAGGCTCTAGATGGCATGCACTAACCAGCCATGCAAAAAACAAGGGCTTAGGGCATGCTGAGTAGCTGGGAAAAATAAAAGAAGAGCATGTGCTTTCATGGGGAAACGCTCAAACATCATACTTGGGGCAAATGTTGAAATGCTATAGCTCCCCACCCCTTTGGATTTTCGACTTGAGAATTGCGGTGCAGGCTCTAGATGGCATGCACTAACCAGCCATGCAAAAAAAAAGGGCTTAGGGCATGCTGAGTAGCTGGGAAAAATAAAAGAAGAGCATGTGCTTTCATGAGGAAACGCTCAAACATTCATACTTGGGGCAAATGTTGAAATGCTATAGCTCCCCACCCCTTTGGATTTTCGACTTGAGAATTGCGGTGCAGGCTCTAGATGGCATGCACTAACCAGCCATGCAAAAAACAAGGGCTTAGGGCATGCTGAGTAGCTGGGAAAAATAAAAGAAGAGCATGTGCTTTCATGGGGAAACGCTCAAACATTCATACTTGGGGCAAATGTTGAAATGCTATAGCTCCCCACCCCTTTGGATTTTCGACTTGAGAATTGCGGTGCAGGCTCTAGATGGCATGCACTAACCAGCCATGCAAAAAACAAGGGCTTAGGGCATGCTGAGTAGCTGGGAAAAATAAAAGAAGAGCATGTGCTTTCATGGGGAAACGCTCAAACATTCATACTTGGGGCAAATGTTGAAATGCTATAGCTCCCCACCCCTTTGGATTTTCGACTTGAGAATTGCGGTGCAGGCTCTAGATGGCATGCACTAACCAGCCATGCAAAAAACAAGGGCTTAGGGCATGCTGAGTAGCTGGGAAAAATAAAAGAAGAGCATGTGCTTTCATGGGGAAACGCTCAAACATTCATACTTGGGGCAAATGTTGAAATGCTATAGCTCCCCACCCCTTTGGATTTTCGACTTGAGAATTGCGGTGCAGGCTCTAGATGGCATGCACTAACCAGCCATGCAAAAAACAAGGGCTTAGGGCATGCTGAGTAGCTGGGAAAAATAAAAGAAGAGCATGTGCTTTCATGGGGAAACGCTCAAACATTCATACTTGGGGCAAATGTTGAAATGCTATAGCTCCCCACCCCTTTGGATTTTCGACTTGAGAATTGCGGTGCAGGCTCTAGATGGCATGCACTAACCAGCCATGCAAAAAACAAGGGCTTAGGGCATGCTGAGTAGCTGGGAAAAATAAAAGAAGAGCATGTGCTTTCATGGGGAAACGCTCAAACATTCATACTTGGGGCAAATGTTGAAATGCTATAGCTCCCCACCCCTTTGGATTTTCGACTTGAGAATTGCGGTGCAGGCTCTAGATGGCATGCACTAACCAGCCATGCAAAAAACAAGGGCTTAGGGCATGCTGAGTAGCTGGGAAAAATAAAAGAAGAGCATGTGCTTTCATGAGGAAACGCTCAAACATTCATACTTGGGGCAAATGTTGAAATGCATAGCTCCCCACCCCTTTGGATTTTCGACTTGAGAATTGCGGTGCAGGCTCTAGATGGCATGCACTAACCAGCCATGCAAAAAACAAGGGCTTAGGGCATGCTGAGTAGCTGGGAAAAATAAAAGAAGAGCATGTGCTTTCATGGGGAAACGCTCAAACATTCATACTTGGGGCAAATGTTGAAATGCTATAGCTCCCCACCCCTTTGGATTTTCGACTTGAGAATTGCGGTGCAGGCTCTAGATGGCATGCACTAACCAGCCATGCAAAAAACAAGGGCTTAGGGCATGCTGAGTAGCTGGGAAAAATAAAAGAAGAGCATGTGCTTTCTGTTGTGTGATGTCATCATATGCTATCACATTCTGTCTGCCTCCCATCCCATATTTTTCAACTTGCATGTGTGGTTTGAACGTGTGCAAGAATTTGTGTGTGATGTGTTCTGGAGTTTGGGAATGTGTTTTGTGTTATTTTGTTTGAGCAGGTTTTTTGTGATGATAGATCTTGAGAAGATCTTTCCGACGCAACGAGAATCCCTTCAATCGGAGCAAGAACGCGAAAGCTATGAAGATTCAAAGTTCATGAGCTTGCGTTACAATTGCGGCGGTTACAAAGTGAAGTTGTGGGGTGACTTTATATGGAGTTGGGACCTTTGGGGTTGGGAAACTTGTCACTCTACTGTAACAGCTGCAAATTGGTTGGGAACAACCAAGCTAGGTTGGCAAGGGTGGCCAACTTGGATGGATTGGTTGGGAAGGGACAAATGTCAAAGTTGGGGTTCCTATAGGGAGGGAATCTTTGTGCTTATGGGGTTTCCTTGGTTGGGGACTCTCTTGGGACCTTCCCTCTCATCCCTCTCTTCCTATCCCAACCTTTCTCTTGCTCCTTCTAATTCCTTGTGAGATTCTTGAACTTTGATTGAACCTTTGAGATTGAGTTAAGTTCTCCTCCTACAGCTTACCCCCTAGTGCGTCGAAAGCCATAGCGTCGCGAATACTTCATCAATCAACATGATTCAAATTGGGAACGGTAGCTGAGATTAAGAGCTACAACATATCCAAGTTTCGCGACATTCCAACGGCTAGTTGTTTGTCGACGTCGTTTCTTGTGAAGACGACTTTTCTGTCCAGAATTTCGGATTTATATTTTGAGTAATTCTAGCTCCTAAGTTCACCTAGACTCCGTCCTTAATCCTAACAAGTGGTATCAGAGCATATTAAGGACATTGAGAGGAGTCTACAGAAGTGTGAAGACCCTTCTAGACCCACCATGGCCTGTGGGTGTGCCTAAGTGGTGTTCTAAAGGTTGGATGTGTCTTCCGCTAAGGGGAAACTCTGCCGAAATTTCGTGGACGCCGACACTTGTGAAAATATCGAGGGAGCTGAGTGTGGACAGCAAAGGGGAGCTGAAATTCGTCATTTCTCAAGGAGAAGATGAATGAGAGAGGAGGAGATGCTAATGGAAGAGGAGCTGTAGCTGAGAAGACAAGTGAGCCGCCGCCATCAAAAGTTGAAGCTTTGGATGGCTCCAACTATGAGGAATGGAGCGGACGGATGAGGAGTGCCTTCAAACGCTACAAGCTACTGAAGATTGCTGTTGGGGAAGAGAAGATGCCGGAAGAAGGCGAAGCACGTGAACGGTGGATTGAGAAAAGCGCGGTGCTTTTCGACCTCATCCTTCAATCGGTCAACAAGGAGATGTTCGAGCACATCAAGGATCTTGTGGAAGCGGATGATTCGGGTCCAAGGGCGTGGAAACTACTACGTGATGTGATTCAGCCCAACACTCTCCCGATGGTGATCGTGCTCGAGAAGGAACTTGCTGCCATCTCCATGCGACCAGGGGACGATGTGAAGCCGGTCCTTGACAAGATCAAGGACACCTATGCAAGGATGGCAGCAGCGGGCAGCAGTGTATCTCAGCTGCAGCAGTGCACCAAGATCATCTCGGTGTTGGACAACTCTTGGGACAACCTCATCCCCACCCTCAACTCTCAGCAAGATCAATGGACACCTGAGTGGCTAAGGCAGCAGATTCTGCAGGAGGACTTCCGCAGACGCCATGTGGGAGGCGGTGCTGCCACTAAGACTGCTGAGGGGTATGGAGCTGCAGGGCGCAGCAGAGGAAGAGGGGGTTGGAGAGGCCGAGGCCGTGGGAGAAGCTTTGGCAGAGGTAGAGGCCGAGGTGACTATAATGAGGGGCATGGGAGCTCCAGTGGCAGGGGGAGTACCAGAATGGAGGGCACCTGCTGGTACTGCAAGAAGGTCGGGCATCCTTGGTTCAAGTGCTTCAGCAGGCTGGAGGGATGGGCACCTCCAGGCATGAAGCCGCCAGTGGTGAACGCGCACAAGGTGGCGCTGTGCAAGGCTCAGGTGCACAAGGTGAAGGTGCACAAGGTAACGCCTATCCTGGGATGTATCTCATGGTTGAGGATGTGCATGGGCATGAGGGTGATGTGGGATCTGTGGGAAAGGTTGTGATGCACCCTCTCACGCACTGGGTGATTGATTCAGGTTGCACCAGTCACATGACCCCACGGGCAGATTTGCTTGATGAGGTAAAACCCCCTGGGAAGATCAAGTATGTGGCAGCAGCGTCAGGTGCTTTGCTCCCCGTGATTGGTGTTGGAAATGCCAAGGTTAAGGGAGCTAATGGGGAGCTTGTGGGGCTTGGGAATGTTCTGCTGGTTGAAGGCTTGTCTGCTAACCTTCTCTCTGTGCGACGACTGCAGAAGAGCAAGGCCGAAGTGACCTTTGGACCAACCAGCTGCCGTGCTAAGCTTGGGAAGAAGGTGCTGTGGAGTCTGGAAGAGGAGACCAGCTGCATCAAGGACCTGTGGCAGCTGCCCATCATCCCATGGAATGGGAAGACTCCAACAGCAGCAACGGCAGCAGCGGCAAAGGCAACAGCAGGAGGAGATGCAACTGCACCAACTGATGGGGTCCTGGAAGCAGTCAAGAAAGTGCAGCAGCAGCAGACACATGGTGAGGTGCTTGCTGGTGTGGATGCGAGTGCGGCATGGGCTAAGGCTTCATCAAGGAGTGGAGAGGCCGATTGGGAGACATGGCATGAGAGGCTGTGTCATGTGAACTTCCCTATGCTGCAGAAGTTGGTGAAGGATGGGAGCCTGAAGGGCTTGGAGGTGAAAGGGGGAGTGAAGGAGATTGGGAGCTGCCCTACATGCTTGGAGACCAAGTTCTCCAAGTTCCCCTTCAACAGCACTACAGGACCAGCCAAGACCCCACTTGCACTTGTGCACATGGATGTGGTGGGGCCCACAAGAGCCCCTTCCCTCTCAGGCAGCCGCTATTTCTTGACAATTGTGGATGACCACACTCGGGCAGTGTGGGTTTACCCTTTGAAGAGCAAGGGGGAGGTGGCAGCGGCTGTCCTTAAGGAGTGGATGCCTAGAGCTCAGAGGGAATGCGGATACAAGGTGAAGGTGATCCGCAGTGACAATGGTGGGGAGTTCATTGGAGCTGATTTTGAGGGGGAGTTGAAGAGGAAGGGGATCCAGCATCAACTGACAGTGCCCTACAACCCGCAGCAGAATGGCGTGGCTGAGAGGTTCAACAGGACCCTGCAGGAGGGGGCACGCACTCTCCTTGGGCGTGCAGGGCTGCCTGATCCGTTTTGGGTGTCTGCACTGAGGCAGGTCGCCCTTGTGAAGAACAGGGTGCTGGCTACAGTTGGAGATAAGGAGTGGATCCCATATGTCAAGTGGTATGGGAGTGCTCCAACTGTGAACATGCTGAGGGCATTTGGGTGCATGGTGGTGTTTCATGTGCCTAAGGAGAAAAGGGGGAAGTTGGAGGCTTCTGGAAGATGGGGTGTGCACTTGGGGATTGCAAAGGATCACAAGGGGTGGCTGCTATGGGACTTGACCACCCAGAAGTTGACAGTGTCAAGGGATGTGAAGTTTCTTGAGTCCCTGTACTACAAGGAATGGAAGCAGCAGCAACAGAAGCTTCCATCTACACCGCTCATTGTGGAGGCAGATGAGGTGCAGCAGCCTTCAAGACAGGTGGAGGTTGCAGTGTCAGAGGAGGAGATGTCTGGGGTGACTGAGGAAGGGGGAGCAGCTGAAGTAGAGCAGCAGCAGCAGCAGCATGAGTCTCCACCTCGAGTTCCACACCCGCCTGAGCGTCCTAGGAGGGATGTGCGCCCTCCAGTGAGGCTGACCTATGGGGGAAGAGGCAAGCCGAATGTGGTGCAGGCTGGGAGTGTGGTTGAGCAGATTGAGGAAGATGAGATCGCTCACTGCTACTGGGCACCAATCCCTGAGCCCAAGACTCGAGAGGAGGCTTTGAATGGACCAAATGGGGAGAAGTGGAAGGCGAGTGAGGATGAGGAGTTCGGGTCCCTAATTGAGAACGAGACATGGGACCTGTGTGACTTGCCTCCTGGAAAGAAGGCAATCACTTCCAAGATGATCTACAGGCACAAGTATGGACCTGAAGGGGAGCTGACCCGCTACAAGTCTAGGCTTGTGGCACGGGGGTTTCAGCAGACAAAGGGGAAGGACTATGATGAGGTGTTTGCTCCTGTGGGGAAAGGAACAACACTGAGGGTGCTGTTGGCGATAGCTGCACTCCTGGGATGGAAGATACGGCAGATGGACATTGTGACTGCCTTTCTGAATGGGATCATTCTGGAGGAGGTGTACATGAAGCAGCCAGAGGGGCTGGATGATGGGAGCGGCAGGGTCTGCAGGCTGAAGAAGGCCATCTATGGCCTTAAGCAGGCGCCTCGTGCATGGTATCACAAGTTGGAGGAGGCGCTGTTGGCTGGGGGTTTCAAGAAGAGTGAGTGTGACCCCAGCCTGTTCCTGCTGCAGGAGAAGGATGAAATCCTCATGCTCTTGGTGTATGTGGATGATATCCTTCTCTTTTCTGCATCAACTGCTTTGCTGGACAGCGCAGAGCAGATGCTGGAGATGCAGTTCAAGTGCTCCAAGATGGGTGAGGTGAAGTACTACTTGGGGATGCATGTGGAGAGAGATGTGGAAAAGGGTGTGCTGAGGTTGCACCAGAGGAAGTACTGTGAGGGGCTGGCTGAGAAGTATGGGCTGCAAGATGGGGGAAAGCCAGCAACACCACTACCTTCAGGGTTTACTGTGGAGCCATGTGCTGATGAGGAGGTAGTGGGTGATAGTGACAGGAAGCTGTTTCATTCGATGGTTGGGTCGCTGAATTATGCTGCAAATCATACACGGCCTGACATTGCATTTGCTACATCACGGTTGGCTAGTGTGGTCTCACGCCCTAGTCATGAGCAGCTGGAAGCGGCCAAGAGGTTGGTCCGCTATGTGAGTGCTACGGCATCAGTGGGATTGGAGTACAGTGGAGTGAGGCAGCGGTTGCAGAGAGGTGCTGCAGATGTGAAGAGTGGAGAGATGCTCTTGAGTTGCTATACTGACGCTAGCTTCAACTCAGTGAAAGCGGATGGCACCAGCATTGGGGGTTATGTGTGCTTGCTAGGAGGTGGTGCTGTGAGCTGGCGCAGCAAGAAGCAGAATGAGGTGGGATTGTCCTCATGTGAGACTGAGTACATGGCCTTACACCATGGGGCCAAGGAAGTAGTGTGGCTAAGGCGTTTGTTGGAGGAGTTGGGAGTTGGTCAGGAGAAGCCGACAGTTGTGTTTTGTGACAATGAGTCCGCTGTGAAGCTCGCCAAGAATGCTTGTCTGCATGGGCTGACAAAACACATAAGGCCTAAGTGGCATTGGGTGAGGAGACTCCTTGATAAGGAGGTGCGGCTGGAGATAGTGAAGACCCATCAGCAGGCAGCAGATATTTTCACCAAGCGTCTGGCGGAGGCGGATCATTGGAAGGGCATGAAGCTTGCTGGGATGAGTGTGCATTGAGTATGCATGCTTGAGATGTTGGTATGGTGGATGATGGTTGGCAGCCAGAGGGGGAGATTGTTGTGTGATGTCATCATATGCTATCACATTCTGTCTGCCTCCCATCCCATATTTTTCAACTTGCATGTGTGGTTTGAACGTGTGCAAGAATTTGTGTGTGATGTGTTCTGGAGTTTGGGAATGTGTTTTGTGTTATTTTGTTTGAGCAGGTTTTTGTGATGATAGATCTTGAGAAGATCTTTCCGACGCAACGAGAATCCCTTCAATCGGAGCAAGAACGCGAAAGCTATGAAGATTCAAAGTTCATGAGCTTGCGTTACAATTGCGGCGGTTACAAAGTGAAGTTGTGGGGTGACTTTATATGGAGTTGGGACCTTTGGGGTTGGGAAATTGTCACTCTACTGTAACAGCTGCAAATTGGTTGGGAACAACCAAGCTAGGTTGGCAAGGGTGGCCAACTTGGATGGATTGGTTGGGAAGGGACAAATGTCAAAGTTGGGGTTCCTATAGGGAGGGAATCTTTGTGCTTATGGGGTTTCCTTGGTTGGGGACTCTCTTGGGACCTTCCCTCTCATCCCTCTCTTCCTATCCCAACCTTTCTCTTGCTCCTTCTAATTCCTTGTGAGATTCTTGAACTTTGATTGAACTTTGAGATTGAGTTAAGTTCTCCTCCTACAGCTTACCCCCTAGTGCGTCGAAAGCCATAGCGTCGCGAATACTTCATCAATCAACATGATTCAAATTGGGAACGGTAGCTGAGATTAAGAGCTACAACATATCCAAGTTTCGCGACATTCCAACGGCTAGTTTTTGTCGACGTCGTTTCTTGTGAAGACGACTTTTCTGTCCAGAATTTCGGATTTATATTTTGAGTAATTCTAGCTCCTAAGTTCACCTAGACTCCGTCCTTAATCCTAACACTTTCATGGGGAAACGCTCAAACATTCATACTTGGGGCAAATGTTGAAATGCTATAGCTCCCCACCCCTTTGGATTTTCGACTTGAGAATTGCGGTGCAGGCTCTAGATGGCATGCACTAACCAGCCATGCAAAAAACAAGGGCTTAGGGCATGCTGAGTAGCTGGGAAAAATAAAAGAAGAGCATGTGCTTTCATGGGGAAACGCTCAAACATTCATACTTGGGGCAAATGTTGAAATGCTATAGCTCCCCACCCCTTTGGATTTTCGACTTGAGAATTGCGGTGCAGGCTCTAGATGGCATGCACTAACCAGCCATGCAAAAAACAAGGGCTTAGGGCATGCTGAGTAGCTGGGAAAAATAAAAGAAGAGCATGTGCTTTCATGGGGAAACGCTCAAACATTCATACTTGGGGCAAATGTTGAAATGCTATAGCTCCCCACCCCTTTGGATTTTCGACTTGAGAATTGCGGTGCAGGCTCTAGATGGCATGCACTAACCAGCCATGCAAAAAACAAGGGCTTAGGGCATGCTGAGTAGCTGGGAAAAATAAAAGAAGAGCATGTGCTTTCATGGGGAAACGCTCAAACATTCATACTTGGGGCAAATGTTGAAATGCTATAGCTCCCCACCCCTTTGGATTTTCGACTTGAGAATTGCGGTGCAGGCTCTAGATGGCATGCACTAACCAGCCATGCAAAAAACAAGGGCTTAGGGCATGCTGAGTAGCTGGGAAAAATAAAAGAAGAGCATGTGCTTTCATGGGGAAACGCTCAAACATTCATACTTGGGGCAAATGTTGAAATGCTATAGCTCCCCACCCCTTTGGATTTTCGACTTGAGAATTGCGGTGCAGGCTCTAGATGGCATGCACTAACCAGCCATGCAAAAAACAAGGGCTTAGGGCATGCTGAGTAGCTGGGAAAAATAAAAGAAGAGCATGTGCTTTCATGGGGAAACGCTCAAACATTCATACTTGGGGCAAATGTTGAAATGCTATAGCTCCCCACCCCTTTGGATTTTCGACTTGAGAATTGCGGTGCAGGCTCTAGATGGCATGCACTAACCAGCCATGCAAAAAACAAGGGCTTAGGGCATGCTGAGTAGCTGGGAAAAATAAAAGAAGAGCATGTGCTTTCATGGGGAAACGCTCAAACATTCATACTTGGGGCAAATGTTGAAATGCTATAGCTCCCCACCCCTTTGGATTTTCGACTTGAGAATTGCGGTGCAGGCTCTAGATGGCATGCACTAACCAGCCATGCAAAAAACAAGGGCTTAGGGCATGCTGAGTAGCTGGGAAAAATAAAAGAAGAGCATGTGCTTTCATGGGGAAACGCTCAAACATTCATACTTGGGGCAAATGTTGAAATGCTATAGCTCCCCACCCCTTTGGATTTTCGACTTGAGAATTGCGGTGCAGGCTCTAGATGGCATGCACTAACCAGCCATGCAAAAAACAAGGGCTTAGGGCATGCTGAGTAGCTGGGAAAAATAAAAGAAGAGCATGTGCTTTCATGGGGAAACGCTCAAACATTCATACTTGGGGCAAATGTTGAAATGCTATAGCTCCCCACCCCTTTGGATTTTCGACTTGAGAATTGCGGTGCAGGCTCTAGATGGCATGCACTAACCAGCCATGCAAAAAACAAGGGCTTAGGGCATGCTGAGTAGCTGGGAAAAATAAAAGAAGAGCATGTGCTTTCATGGGGAAACGCTCAAACATTCATACTTGGGGCAAATGTTGAAATGCTATAGCTCCCCACCCCTTTGGATTTTCGACTTGAGAATTGCGGTGCAGGCTCTAGATGGCATGCACTAACCAGCCATGCAAAAAACAAGGGCTTAGGGCATGCTGAGTAGCTGGGAAAAATAAAAGAAGAGCATGTGCTTTCATGGGGAAACGCTCAAACATTCATACTTGGGGCAAATGTTGAAATGCTATAGCTCCCCACCCCTTTGGATTTTCGACTTGAGAATTGCGGTGCAGGCTCTAGATGGCATGCACTAACCAGCCATGCAAAAAACAAGGGCTTAGGGCATGCTGAGTAGCTGGGAAAAATAAAAGAAGAGCATGTGCTTTCATGGGGAAACGCTCAAACATTCATACTTGGGGCAAATGTTGAAATGCTATAGCTCCCCACCCCTTTGGATTTTCGACTTGAGAATTGCGGTGCAGGCTCTAGATGGCATGCACTAACCAGCCATGCAAAAAACAAGGGCTTAGGGCATGCTGAGTAGCTGGGAAAAATAAAAGAAGAGCATGTGCTTTCATGGGGAAACGCTCAAACATTCATACTTGGGGCAAATGTTGAAATGCTATAGCTCCCCACCCCTTTGGATTTTCGACTTGAGAATTGCGGTGCAGGCTCTAGATGGCATGCACTAACCAGCCATGCAAAAAACAAGGGCTTAGGGCATGCTGAGTAGCTGGGAAAAATAAAAGAAGAGCATGTGCTTTCATGGGGAAACGCTCAAACATTCATACTTGGGGCAAATGTTGAAATGCTATAGCTCCCCACCCCTTTGGATTTTCGACTTGAGAATTGCGATGCAGGCTCTAGATGGCATGCACTAACCAGCCATGCAAAAAACAAGGGCTTAGGGCATGCTGAGTAGCTGGGAAAAATAAAAGAAGAGCATGTGCTTTCATGGGGAAACGCTCAAACATTCATACTTGGGGCAAATGTTGAAATGCTATAGCTCCCCACCCCTTTGGATTTTCGACTTGAGAATTGCGGTGCAGGCTCTAGATGGCATGCACTAACCAGCCATGCAAAAAACAAGGGCTTAGGGCATGCTGAGTAGCTGGGAAAAATAAAAGAAGAGCATGTGCTTTCATGGGGAAACGCTCAAATACTCATACTTGGGGCAAATGTTGAAATGCTATAGCTCCCCACCCCTTTGGATTTTCGACTTGAGAATTGCGGTGCAGGCTCTAGATGGCATGCACTAACCAGCCATGCAAAAAACAAGGGCTTAGGGCATGCTGAGTAGCTGGGAAAAATAAAAGAAGAGCATGTGCTTTCATGGGGAAACGCTCAAACATTCATACTTGGGGCAAATGTTGAAATGCTATAGCTCCCCACCCCTTTGGATTTTCGACTTGAGAATTGCGATGCAGGCTCTAGATGGCATGCACTAACCAGCCATGCAAAAAACAAGGGCTTAGGGCATGCTGAGTAGCTGGGAAAAATAAAAGAAGAGCATGTGCTTTCATGGGGAAACGCTCAAACATTCATACTTGGGGCAAATGTTGAAATGCTATAGCTCCCCACCCCTTTGGATTTTCGACTTGAGAATTGCGGTGCAGGCTCTAGATGGCATGCACTAACCAGCCATGCAAAAAACAAGGGCTTAGGGCATGCTGAGTAGCTGGGAAAAATAAAAGAAGAGCATGTGCTTTCATGGGGAAACGCTCAAACATTCATACTTGGGGCAAATGTTGAAATGCTATAGCTCCCCACCCCTTTGGATTTTCGACTTGAGAATTGCGGTGCAGGCTCTAGATGGCATGCACTAACCAGCCATGCAAAAAACAAGGGCTTAGGGCATGCTGAGTAGCTGGGAAAAATAAAAGAAGAGCATGTGCTTTCATGGGGAAACGCTCAAACATTCATACTTGGGGCAAATGTTGAAATGCTATAGCTCCCCACCCCTTTGGATTTTCGACTTGAGAATTGCGGTGCAGGCTCTAGATGGCATGCACTAACCAGCCATGCAAAAAACAAGGGCTTAGGGCATGCTGAGTAGCTGGGAAAAATAAAAGAAGAGCATGTGCTTTCATGGGGAAACGCTCAAACATTCATACTTGGGGCAAATGTTGAAATGCTATAGCTCCCCACCCCTTTGGATTTTCGACTTGAGAATTGCGGTGCAGGCTCTAGATGGCATGCACTAACCAGCCATGCAAAAAACAAGGGCTTAGGGCATGCTGAGTAGCTGGGAAAAATAAAAGAAGAGCATGTGCTTTCATGGGGAAACGCTCAAACATTCATACTTGGGGCAAATGTTGAAATGCTATAGCTCCCCACCCCTTTGGATTTTCGACTTGAGAATTGCGGTGCAGGCTCTAGATGGCATGCACTAACCAGCCATGCAAAAAACAAGGGCTTAGGGCATGCTGAGTAGCTGGGAAAAATAAAAGAAGAGCATGTGCTTTCATGGGGAAACGCTCAAACATTCATACTTGGGGCAAATGTTGAAATGCTATAGCTCCCCACCCCTTTGGATTTTCGACTTGAGAATTGCGGTGCAGGCTCTAGATGGCATGCACTAACCAGCCATGCAAAAAACAAGGGCTTAGGGCATGCTGAGTAGCTGGGAAAAATAAAAGAAGAGCATGTGCTTTCATGGGGAAACGCTCAAACATTCATACTTGGGGCAAATGTTGAAATGCTATAGCTCCCCACCCCTTTGGATTTTCGACTTGAGAATTGCGGTGCAGGCTCTAGATGGCATGCACTAACCAGCCATGCAAAAAACAAGGGCTTAGGGCATGCTGAGTAGCTGGGAAAAATAAAAGAAGAGCATGTGCTTTCATGGGGAAACGCTCAAATACTCATACTTGGGGCAAAT